TCAGCATCTTAGCTGTAGAGGGCAGTGTCACTGGCCCTCATATGTGGGATCCGAACCGGGGCCTTCTGGCATCCCAAGCGAGTTCTTAACCATCGCGCCACTCGGCCGGCCCTGTTGTTTTCAGTTTTATATCTCACATATCAGTGAAATCATATGGTTCTTGACCTTTTCTGTCTGACTTATTTCACTTAGCATAATAATCTCAAGATCCATCCATGTTGTCCCAAATGGCACAATTTCATCTTTTCTTATGGCAGAGTAGTAGTCCATTGTGTATATATACCACATCTTTTTAATCTAATAATCTGTCAAAGCATACTTTGGTTGTTTCCATGTCTTGGCCACTGTAAATAAAGCTGCAATGAACATTGGAGCACATATATCTTTACGGATAAGTGTTTTCAGATTTTTTGGGTAGATACCCAGGAGAGGGATTGCTGGGTCATATGGTAATTCAATTCTTAATTTTTTGAGGAACCTTAGTAAATATTTATAAATGAAGTTTAAAGAACTAGAATTCTTGAGGTCAGAGAAGTAGTTGATTAAAATAAGGAAGTAGAAGTTATGGATAGGAGTTTGTGGTCAGAGGTAGACCTTGGGACTATAGGTGTACACAACACAGTAAAAAAAACTGCCCTTATGAAGCTTACCTTCTGGCTGGGGAAATGTATCATAATCCATGTTCAATAAATAAAGTGTATATATTGGTTTGTCGGAAAAGTCATGATGCATTTTTGCAACGAAAAATAGAAAAAAGAAGTCATGACTTTTCCGACAAACCAATATTATGTTTGATAGCTGCATATACTAAGGAGAAGGGAGGATGACATTTTAGATGGGTTGGCCAGGAAGTTCTTGCTGAGAACGTGCCATTTGAGTGAAGATTTGAGGAAAGGAAGAGAATGAACCATGATGCTACAAGGATAAGAATATTGTAGGCAGAGGGGTAATGCAAATAATGCTGAGACTGGCTTCAGGGTCGGTGCAATTTGGGAAGAAATATCCTTTAAGGAGAACCATATTGTAGATAAGCAAGGAGGGAGGTTAAAAGAGCTTTCTTTACTAACCACTTTTAGAACAGAACTTTTTTTTTTTCACAATAAAAGAGAATGATTTCTTGTTTTTTTTTAAAAGATTTTTATTGGGGAATTGGGGGATGGGAACAGCACTGGGGAACTGGGGGAAGGGGAACAGACAAGTTGCTGTCGTTTTGTTCTTCAGTCTAGTTGTGGAGGATGTTGCTTCACTGGCCCAAGTTGGCACCATCATTGCGCTCTTCCTGGGCGAGGCAGATCAGTCGCTGGCTTCTGGACGGCTGCTCACGGCGGCTACTGGCCGCTCACGCTGGCTGCTGGCTACACACGGTAGCCCATGGCAACCCACTGCCACAGGGGCTGCAGCCTATGCTGTCGCTGGCACTCACGGCAGCCCAGCTCCAGGTTGAGCTGTTGTTCAGCATCTTAGGTGTAGAGAGGGCAGTGTCACTGGCCCTCATATGTGGGATCCGAACCGGGGCCCTCTGGCATCCCAAGCCAGTTCTTAACTATCGCGCCATTCGGCCGGCCCTCTTGTTTATTTTAGCTATTGGCTATTATATCTTTGTGTTTAGGAACTGATGTTGACAAACCATATTATTTAAAGACATATTTAAAAGCAACTAAAATTACTTTGGTATAAACGATGTATTATTTGCTATATAGTTTGATATAATGACATAATTACCAATACCTTTTGTGGACAGCAGAGGGAACTATTTTGCCAATTATCTAAATTTGGAGGTAGGTTGTTCTGAGATAATAAAACCCTTTTATTTACTATGTTATGCAAAAAGAACAGTTCCTTTGATTTTTTTTAAATAAAGGTTTGTTTTCTTCCAGAGCTCTGTTAATATTTATTTGTATGGCTATACTGATGTAAGTAAATTTGATAGACTATTTATGAAATTTAGAAGAATTAATAAACACTATGAAAATCTTCATAGAATAAATTGTATTTTGTTTGTAATCACTTTCTGATTTTTGTTACTTGCCAGCTAATAGTGGCATTGATAACATACTGTCACATTGGGATACATTTTTAAGTTATACATTTGAATCTTAAAATTTGTTCTGTTTCTCTGCTATTCCTAATTCTGTTTTGTAGCAGAAAAATGTATATTGTCATTTGAACTTCATTTGCTACAGAAAGTCTTACTCGGTTATATGACAGTGTAAGGTCCTGCCTTGAATGTTTTCTGCATTCTGTGAATGTCCAGCGCAAATTTATCAACTATCAATGTGAAATCTGCCCTATACCCCTTTTCCTCATATGTAGTAACAGACAGTTGATCTTAAGCCACTTCATAAAGTGGCAGTATGTAACTCTGCTTCTTAACAGCTATTTAGTTATTAAATACTTTTGCTCTGCTGACTTTGTGGGTGGTTTTAAAGAATCAAATTAATATGTAATTAAAAGGCTTTTTAAGGCTAATAATTAAGGAACTTTCAGATTGCAGGGGTGTAAAGGATAACAGTGGAAAAGTATGGGATAATAAGATGGGTTTAAAGGGGCATTTAAAAAAGGAACCAACCTACTAGATATATTTTTAAAATTATATCTTAGTGAAATAATTAGTTGAGAGCTTGTTTTCTGTTCTTCAGATGATTCCTTGGTTCGTTGTTTTTTAAAAAAAATGCTAGCTGTTGGGTAGGGTACTGTGCTGGAAATAACAATATGAATAAGGTGTACCTGCTTTTGAGAATCCCTTAAATTCATAGAAAAGTGAAGATGTTACAACAGTAGTTTCACAATTGAAAGCAAGAGTATCTCCATTTAAGGTGGGCCTAGGAGTGAGCAGGAGTTTGGTCAGGGAAGCCTTAAAGAGGCCAGGAGAGTTGGGCTTTGAAGTGGATAAGTTGGAGTTGGCCAGGCAGATGATGGGTTAGGGTGTTGCAAGGAGTTGGCAGCCTAGGTTTAAAATCTATTATAGTTCCAATATTACGGTGTATTCTTAGTCAATTGTGCATCAGTTTTATCATCTGTAAAATGGGGATAATAATTGCATTGACTTCATAGGGTGTTGTGGGAATTAAATGAATATATTGGAAAACATTTAAAACAGTGCCTGGTATATCCTAACCAACTGAAGGTTAGCTTTTAATGTTATTATTGTAGAGATCTGAGGGTAGAATTGGCAGGTTGTGGTCTTGGATTGTGAGTATTAAGGCAACGGATGCCTCTAGGACAGTGATTCTCAGCCGTGGATGCACATTAGAATCACCTGGGTAATTAAAAGGTGCTAATGCCTAGGCCCCACCCCAAAGCAGTTTAATATTGGGTTGTTGGAAAAGTCATGACGTATTTTTTCTATGTTTTCCGTTGCAAAAATGTGTCATGACTTTTCCAACAACCCAATAATTTCTCTGATGGTACGGCCCTAGGTGGTTCTAATGTTCATTTGGGCTGAGAACCACTGGTCTACTACTATTTCCAGGCTCCTGGCTTGGGTGACTGGGTTGCTGATGGTGCCATTTACTGGCATAAAAAGCAAATTGAAAGAAAAGATGTTGCTTTTAACATAGCACTTGGGCTTTCTAAGAATCCTGTTAGCATTTGCTTGCTTTAATTTTTTGAAACTAAGGAATACATTTTTAATATTTGTTTCTGGATTAGATATCATAAGTGACCTCAGACTATATGACTTTCGTGTTCTTGTGTCTGCATTTTATACTTTGAGTTTCTTTTTGGATAGTATATGCTACTGTTCCTTCTCTTTGGACTTAATTGCCTTTTAACATACCCTATAATTTACATATTTACTGGTTTGTTTGACTCCCTCTTTCAAAATTTCATGTTGATTGCTTCTCCCTCTTTTCTTCACCCAGCCCCTAACCAGTATTACCACTACCATTAGGATGTAAGCTCCTACAGAGAAGGGATCTTTGAAATTTTTGTTCACCAGTGAATCCTGAATTTCTAGTACATAGTGTATAATACATATTTCTTGAGTAAATGAATGAACGAATTACTGTCAGACTGGTTTTGTTTCCTTCCAGGTTCTTGGTTCTGCTCCAGAGTAAGATGTTGTAGAGCAGAATTTCAGAGAGATCTGTGAGAACTGTTTTCTTCTTGTATTTAATTGATAAACATGGAATTCAGTTTTTGTTTGCTTAAAGGTTGTAAGAATACAGTTGAGCAAATGCTTCTTAATATATCTAAACAATAAAAACTTTTTTTTAATGTTTTGGTAGGAACCACCTGTACCACCTCTAAATTTTTTTAAAGTGGGAATGAAACTGGAAGCTATAGACAAAAAGAACCCGTTTCTGATCTGCCCTGCCACTATTGGAGGTGTTAAAGGAGATGAAGTTTATATCACATTCGATGGCTGGGGTGGAATTTTTGATTATTGGTGCAAGTACTATTGTCGAGATATTTTTCCAGTTGGATGGTGTCGTCTGACAGGAGATGTATTACAACCACCAGGAACTCATGGTAAGATAATAAGTAACTACATGTTCTTTTATTTTATTGAAATTGGGGTGCTCAGCTTCCTTTATAGTTGATGCTCAATTTAAAATCACATGTGGTATTCCATTGTTTATACCTAGAAGATAGTTTTTAAAAGTTTGGACATAACTGTTACATACCTGTTTTACATGATTTTGGTCATTTTTCAAATTAAGTGGATATTTTGGTAGTCTTAAGTAAAATCTGTAAAAATTTTGACTCTGGAAGCTATCATAGATTAGTATGTTATTTTAATAATGTGCTTATCAGTTGCAATGTGTGCTTCGTAAGTTGAAGACGATGATTATCTAGATATTTTCTTTCAAGAGAAAGTCATCAAAATACTGAAGCTGCTTTGTGACTCTTCCAATGGCTTAAACATGCTGAACCTGGTCTTCTGCAATGGATAACTGCTGAGATTTAAGAAGGGTCTAAGCACAGAACCCAGTCATTGGCCTAACTTAAATATAAACTTATTTGTATAGTCAAATGTAAACACACTTAAAATTCACCTCAATATATTTATTTATACCAGAAAAAAGAAAGATGGGTATAGAAAATGAGTAGGTAAGGTGTGTGGAGGAGGGCAATGGCTAGGTAAGAGCAGATAGCCATATTATAGTACTCTCCCTTATCCGTAGGGGATATATTCCAATACCCCCAGTGAATGCCTGAAAGCTTGGATAGTACCGAACCCTATATATATACCATGTTTTTTCCAATACATACATATACTTGATGGCTTCTCTGAATTGCCAGCATCACTACTCTTGCACTTTGGGGCCATTATTAAGTAAAATTAGGGTGACTTGAGCACAAGCGTTGCGATACTACGATACTTCAACAGTTGATCTGATAAGTGAGATGGCTACTAAGTGATTAACAGGAGGGTAGTATAGAATGTGGAGATGCTGGACAAAGGGATGATTCATGCCCCAGGTGGGATGGAGCTGGACAGCATGAGATTTCATCATGCTACTCAGAACGGCACACAATTTAAAACTTACAAGTTTTTTCCTGGCATTTTCCATTTAATATTTTTGAACTGTAGTTGATCATGGGTAAATGAAGCTATGGAAAGTGAACCACGGACAAGGCGGGACTACTGTATCCTTGTAACTTCTGTAATTTGGGGCTTTTACACATCCCATTATGCTACAATGTTACATTCCATGATGTTCTTTTTATTAGGTACCTCTTTTACCAGTTCCCTACTGCCATGATTTTAGGAAGCAGGTATTAATGATTGATTTTTGTAAAATTTAGTATGATACAGATCTATGTGCATGTGATGCTAAGATAAATGAGGCATGGTCTCTGCCCTCAAGAAATTTACCCTCTAATGGGAGAGGGATGAATGGAGGGATAGGCTTAAAAAATGCGATATGGAATTAGCAACGCAAAAATAGAGATGTGTGCTAGGTATCAAGGTGGCCCAAAGACATCCAGTCTGTTTACGCTGGAGGGAAAGGTGGTTGGGTAAAGGAAAGCTTCACCAAAAGACACATGATGTGAGTATTAAAGGGAGCAGAAGGAGTTAGCCAGGCAGAATGGTGGTAGGGTGGACACATGACAAAAGTTAAAATTGCAGTTAATCCTGCAAATGATGAGTTCAGTGTGGGACACAGTGACTTTGGAATGTGTGGCCAAGAATGCTGTTGTCCTCCAGTGTATGACCCCCCTTTTTTTCTTAGTTATACAGTTTGACTGCCTAACATAAAGACTGTATTTCCAGCCTCTCTAGCAGTGAGATATGGCCATGAGACTGAAGTCCCAGTCAATGGAGTGAAAGTGCATGTGGTGTGTTCTTCCAGGAAGTATATTACAGAGAGATGAATGTACCTTTCTCTTTTCCTTCCTCCTGCCTCTATCCCAATGCTGGGAATGTTTTGGTTGTTTTGGGTGGAGCTCCATCTTGGACCATGAAATGGGGTCATATTCTAGGCATAGTGGAGGGGAAAGCAGAAAGGAGCCAGAGGCCCTGAGAACTTTGTGGAGTAGAATTTTCTTACTAGCCTGTTACAGACTGTTAAGAGAAATAAACTTTTATGTTATATAAACCACTATTCTTTTAGGTTTTTCTGTTACTGTTTGCTGAGCTTAATTCTAACTGATTCAGGGTAACTTTAGGACATCCAGGTGGATATGTCCATTGGATAGCTGCACATGCAAGTATGGAGCCTAAAAGAGATAGTTCTCTGTTGACAAAGCAAGTTTGAGAGTCGTCATGTTCATTTAAACAAATGTTCTTTGTATTAGAGGGATTATAGGTGTTGGTAGCAAGTGGGGTAGGCAGCTTATATATCCTATTGATAGTAAGTGGTGGAAGTTTGGGGTGTGGTTTTAATTGTGCATGTGTAACAGGTGGAGGTATAAGAGGACCAGTGACAGAACAATGACAATTGTAGGTCAACATTTAAAATAATTCTCACACTTCACCTGGGGGAGCTTGTTACAAGGCTGATGCCCTGAAACTCAATCCATGGGTTCTGAATCGGTAGGTCCAGAGTGGGGCTCATGTGTTTCCATGACATGGTTTGAGGTCCAAACTTCGAGAAACACAAAAATGAGCGATGGGTAGAAGATAAGATAGAAGTCAATTTAGGACACTGAGAAAAAGTATATATAAATGTAGGAAAGTCATGAAGTTGGTTCCCCCAGCAACAGGAAAGGAAAGATTTTAAGGAATAAACACTATCAAATGCAGTATAAAAGTCAACAGGAGAGCTCACTAGTGGTCTTAAATAAATGCATGGTTACTAGACTTCTTTGAAAAGCCAGGTTTTAGAGAGTTGAGTAAATAGGAGATGCAATGTGTTTAAAAAAATGTGGCTTCACCAATATTTTCTGAGATCTGCCTCCTCTGTCCTTTACTTCAGTAGACATTTCACCAGTTAAAGTGAAATTTAGAAACCTTACGTTGATTTACATCCCTTTACCCTGTACTATTTATAATGTAATTGTCTTCAATATTTCTTCTACATTCATTGAGAACAATGGCATTTAGACAGTGTTATATTTGGTTCAACCATTAAACATAATTTAGAAAACTCAAGATAAGGAAAGTCTATTGTATATACCTACATTTTTGCCCTTTTGGTTTTTTCTTTCCTAATTTTCAAGGATTCCTTCTTTTATCATTTTCTTTCTGTTCAGAGAACTTCTTGTAGTCATTCTTTTAGGGTAGGCTGGCTGGTGACAAATTCTTAGTGTTCCTTCATCCAAGGAAAACGTGTTTATTTCTCCATAATTACTTCCCCATAATTCTTGAAAGATTGTTGCTAGATACAGAATTCTAGGTAGACAGTTCTTTTCTTTCAGCACTTGAAAAATGTTGTGTGACTTCTGTCTGGCTTCCATGGTTTCTAATGAGAAGTTTGCCGTTATTTGAATTATTTTCCCTCTATAGGTTCCGTTATGATTATGGGTTTGTTTTTCCTTGTACTTCCAGTGTTTACTTTATACTTTATCTGTTTTATTGCTACATTATCAGGTGTGTACAAATTTTATAACTTCCTGTTCAGTTGAACCTTCTGTGGTAACTCTATGGTAATTTTTAAAATATACCTTAAAGTCTACTTTATCTTTACTAATGTAGCCAGCTGTACCAACTTTTGTTTGGTTGGGGTTCTTGTTCTCTCTCTGTCTAATGTTCAACCTTTATCCTTATCTAAAACGATGCATTTCTTGCAAATAGTTGGATTTTGATTTTTTGTCCAGTCAGTCTGTCTGTCGTAACTGGAGCTTTTAATCTATTTATATTATTATTACAGCTATATTTCGTTTTCAATATGCTGCCTTATTTTGTGCTTTTTTATTTGCCCTGCCTTTTCTGTTGTATTTTCCTTTTTTTCTCCTTTTTCAGATTATTTTTTCCCATTCCATTTCCTCCCTCTTCTTGTTTAGAAGTTATATACTATATTTTCTGTCATTTTAATATGCTAGGAATTTTAACATGCTTTCTTAACTTAATGGAAGTCTGAAATTAATCAATACCTTTATTCAGCACTAATAAAAGGAACTTAGAATACTCTACCCATTTATCTCCTTCTAATTCATGTTGTTACTGTTATATATTTTAATTATATCTTTTTATAGTCCAATAAACTATTACTGTTGTTTATATAGTCAGTATTTGGTGAGATTCATCAACATAGTCAACATAATTGTCACGCTTTATTCCTTCTAGGCATCTCAAACCTTTCATCTGGGAATGATTTTCTTCTGTTTGAGGTAGATCCTTCAGACTTTCCTTTAGTGAGGGTCTGCTAGTGGCACACTTTTTCAGTTTATGTTCACCTGAGTATGTCATTAATTTAACTCCTTCCTTGAAAGCCATTTTCTCTGGGTGTTGAATTCTAGGTTGACAGCTATTTTCTTTCAGCACAGTAAACATATTCTTTTGCCTTTTGGTTTCCATTGCTGTTGAGAATTCAACTGTCAATCTAACTTTTTTCTCCAACTGTAATTTGTCATTTTTTTTCTCTAGCTAATCTAATTTTTTATGTTATCATTGATGTTTTGTAGTTTCATTCTGATACTTCTAGGTGTGGGTTTCTTTGAATCTTGATATCTTAGCAAAACCATACATATGTAGATATGTTTATGTAGTTTCAATGTGAAAAAATTTTAATATTTGGTATTATATTTTACTGTTTTATCATTATTAAGGATTTCAAATGGCATGAGTAATTTGACGTTGTAAAATGCTTTCATGACTACTTTTTGAATGCAAATAATACAAACCATGTTAAAGTAGAATTTGGAAGCAGAGGAGTAGAAACAAAGATGTGCCCACTGGTACCATATTCTGTTTTGTAAAGATTCACAGAAGTCCCCAGAAGAACTTTAGGATTAGGGGAAAGTATGGTTAAAAATTGTTAGTGGATACTCACCCAAGACATTACATATGATTCATTTTGATTTTTTGCTTTTTAATTATAGATAGATTAATAATGTTAGTACTGTACTTACATAAGGTGAAA